TCCATTGCAAATTGAGTGATTTCTGACATCTGTAATGCTTTTTATTTTGCTAAACATCTTCTTTTTTTAGGTGGACTATATCTCAATATGCTAATGACTATATATCCTATTTGCTATATGCTCAAACTTTGATTTTTTTTTGTATTTTTGTATTATTTTATAATTCTTTTACTTAGATTTTTTGTTTTTTGTGAGGCTTAAGCCTCGCTTCATAAAGAAAAACCGCTTCAGTACTTAGTTTCGCCTTTTTAAACTTTGTTTGTGTGTATAAGATTTTCGTAATCATGCATACTGAACTTCCCGAAAAATTTTAGTGTATACTTTTGATCTTGTCTTTATGCTTTGTTTACCATGGTGGTCATTTCCTATGGAATATTTTGAAGTGAGCTGAAATACATATTTTTTTCTGTTTCAATTACAGGCCATCTATCATCTTGAAAGAGGGGATTCTGTTTTTGTGGCAGCCCATATTGATTGAAACTTAAAACTTCAATGAAATTTAATGGTTTCCGTTTTTTTTGTCATTGGGGGTTGTTCTCTGTGGTGACTGATGGGGGATAGAAAATGAACTGCCAGAAATAAATTAGTGAATAGAAGGCATCCATATTTGTTTGTGTGTATAAGATTTTCGTAATCATGCATACTGAACTTCCCGAAAAATTTTAGTGTATTCTTTTGATCTTGTCTTTATGCTTTGTTGACCATGGTGGTCATTTCCTATGGAATATTTTGAAGTGAGCTGAAATACTTATTTTTTTTCTGTTTTAATTACAGGCCATCTATCATCTTGAAAGAGGGGATTCTGTTTTTGTGGCAGCTCATACATCAGCTGGGAAGACTGTTGTTGCAGAATATGCATTTGCTCTCGCTTCAAAAGTATTGTCTTTTTTTTCACAGTGTCAAGATTATGTGCTGGTTAATTAGATAGTTTTGTTCTCTAATCAATTTTGTGGAGAACGATTCTTCTTTAAATCTTCTTTTGTTCTGTGCATTGAAAATTTATAACAAGGCTTGTTGGACTTATGCAGCACTGTACAAGAGCTGTATATACTGCTCCTATTAAAACCATCAGCAATCAAAAGTACAGAGATTTTTGTGGGAAATTTGATGTTGGTCTGCTCACAGGTGATGTTAGCTTGAGGCCTGAGGCCTCTTGTCTCATCATGACCACTGAGATATTAAGATCAATGCTCTATAGGGGTGCTGACATCATACGTGACATAGAATGGGTAAGATGTTTTTAATGGTGCATGTCTTCCTTTTCCCCCATACTCGAGAAAACAATACACGTCTTCCTCATGATATTTAAATCTTTAATTATCTCAGATCCGTAAAATTTTACATCCTTTTTTTTTGGTTAAATAATTCTGAAACAACTGGCTTTTTGATTGTGCTGTACGTGGAAATATAGGTCATATTCGATGAAGTGCATTATGTTAATGATGTTGAAAGAGGTGTCGTTTGGGAAGAAGTTATTATCATGCTTCCTAGGCATATCAACTTTGTGCTACTTTCAGCCACGGTACGTCTTGAAATCAGTTTTCATCTGCACATTGTTTATTTATGAAGTGTATTTGACCATAAATCCCCTTGGTCTTGTGTAATGCATTCTGATTTGCTGTTTTTGAGAGATCTAACGTGCTAGTAGTGCTGTACTACTTTAAATTATGCATGTTGTAGTAAGAGTTGACGAGACTGGCTCATGACTTGCTTAACTTAGATGAAAGGTTTATTCTTAAGTTGTTGGAATTACAGTAGGCTAGCTGATGGGAATGGGATATATCATCTTTCATCACACAAAACATAATTTAAACTCCTATTGCTTAAATAGTTTTCAGGCTACGAAGTAGTATATATATTTCTAATGCATTTTCTACTAAAGAATACAGCAGGTCGTAGGTGTTAATTAATATGATGATAATGGAAGGGTTGAGATACACAGGCAACTCAGATGACTAAAAATGCTATTAAATTTCTTTTTTTATTAACAAAGTGTTACTTCCTATAAATTTGTGGTCGACTATGCGAGTCAATGCTGGCTTCCTCAATTACATAGTTGACTGCATATTTGGCGGTAGGGAGTATTGCCTCATGATTACAAATTTTAATGTAGATTGCAGAGATACCCATAGAGCTCCATATACCAAAAAATCCAATAAAGTGAAATCTTTTGTAACCACATCATGCCATGTTAATTTTAGTCTATGTCAATCTTCTAACCAGTTTAATTAGTATCATGTTTCTTGTGAACATGCAAGGTTTAAAAAAGACGAAACTAAGTACTGAGGTGATTTTTCTTTATGAGGCGAGACGTAAGCCTTGAAGCGGATTGAGGCGTAAGTCTCACAAAAAATAAAAAATCTAAGTAAAATAATTATAAAATAATACAAAAATACAAAAAAAAAAAAGTTGGAGCATATAGTAAATAAGATATATAGCCATTAGCATATTGAGATATAATCCACCTAAAGAAAGAAGATGTTTAGCAAAAA